GAAAGACGGTGCTCTCTTGCTACTTCTATCAAAAGTTATTCAAGAAACATCGGAGTTCCTTATTCATTGAAACAGATGGTAGAAAAGTAAGATCAATTCTCAAGAGCATATAAGTAAATATATATACTAAAGAATGTATCGATATCACTTGTATTTCGAATTGTTTATGTTTGAATATAGAAATGGGTCAGAAAAGGAGAAAAGAAACATATAATGTCGGTGAAGGTACTAGTGACATTACATATTTAACGAAGCAAAAATGAGGCCCAAATCCAAGCCGATCGTCTCAATCAAAGCAATCGTCAACATGTTTTTCTACGATAATTGCTATCACATATATTAAAAATTCTTTTTTTCTAAATTAGAGCGGAAAAGTCAGAATTCTGCTCCTAATTCTCAATTTTCTCCGTTGAAACTCAAATTTTATGTAAATAACGATATCATATTCGAAATCAGGATCAAGACTGATTAGAGTAATGTGTTTTTTCATCCTATCCGACTACTTTAATTTTTTTACATAAAAGTAGAATTCCCATGGAGAAAATTGAGGATTACAAGCAGGATTCTGACTTTTTCTCCTCTAATTTAGAAATAATGAATTTTCTCAGCAACGGAGAGAAATTTCTAAAAAAGCGATGCGTATTTTTTCTGCTTGAGTAAAAACGAATTGAATGCGATATAAATCAAGCTTATATCCCTTAATAAAAACAATTAGATAGATTTCCAGAATTTGTTCACGCGCTTTAGACCCTATCTGAATATGACATTCCATTTTGAAGACGTTATATGTGCCCAGGTTCCAAATAATAGCTCTAAACTCAGTTTCTTATGCTGAATTCGAAAAAAAATTTGTGGCTTTTGAAAATCAAGCAGAAAAAAAATTTCTGATATTTTTCATAACCTAACGGTTGAATGAAATCCAGATCCTTTCGATATTTCGAAAGTTTCTCCTTCAAAATCCGATCTTTTAAACTAAAGCCTGGATATTACCCATCAGCTTGTCGAGCTCTATCGAACCATGTATAACATACCTAAAAATAAAATACTGCAACTTCCTATTACTGGCGCCCTACTATCATATATATAAGTATACTGTATTGAATATAACAGCAATTTTGGCATTATCAATAGCAATGATCGTTATGGACACACTTTATCGTCTGTAATGTTCAATGAATTGGTTAATAGCAATTTATGTGATTGTCGGTCAAAAGTTTTAGAATTCATTTCAAAAAGGTCGTTTTTATGTCTTTTTGGTCTTCATTGGTCGAACAATTTGTCGAAGCAGTTGTAATAGAAAATAAAAAATTGACTGTTGCAAATGGTTAGATCCAAGCACAAACGTTTAGAAGGAGAACTGTCGAAACTAAATTAGTATGGAAACAAAATGAGTACGATGATTAATTTTCATGGAATTATGACCGAACAACAGTTTATAAATGTAATAATAATTGCAGCTGTTTTGAACTTCATATCTTTATTTGTTGATATTTCGACCTTTAACGGGTCAATTTCAAAAACATAAATAGAATAACTGTACAAAGATTACAATAGTTTATACTCTGAATGCAGAACGCTTGAATATCAGAACGAACATGTTTGTATGTATTGCTTATACCATTCAAAAAATCAAGATACATTGATGCGTTTATAGACGAATGGTTAATATGAAATTCACTCATGCATTCGCCAGATGATAATTTTTATGCTGTCTTCGCCAACATTTTTCATAGAATCAAAAATAGACTTTTTCAGAAATCTGCGCAGGCAGACAGAAATATTTCAGTGAATATCCTGAATCCAATTCAGTTTTAGAAGTTCATAAAAACACTTTCTTAGCCATATTTTTTTAGAACTAATTTCTGATACATAAGGTCATTAGAAAAACATTCAATATATCAAGAAAAAAAAATTATTTTTTAAAAATTCGGACAGACAGGAAAAGTGAGTATCCAATACCACCATGAATGTGTAGAAAAACATCATGTCTGAGCCGAAAAAATTTTTTATTGCATCTACAATCTACTAAAAGTGCCTTACTGTTGAAATAAAAAACAAGCTAAAGAAGAAATGACAGTCGTATAATAGGTAGCAAACAAGTTAGTGTTTGTTCTTGATGTTAATTTCAGTATACTATGATGTTGTAGGTTTCTTCTTTTGAGAACATTGCATTTATTCATGTATCCATTTTCCAGCGGCACTTGTCCATCTTGTAACTTCCTCTGGACGAAACCATAAATCGATTTCACGTTTAGCTGCTTTCTCTGAATCGCTTCCATGAACAACATTTCTATAAAAGAACGAAAAAAACTCATTATTAGATGAACAAAAACGTTTGTATATATTATTTTTACCGTCCGGTTGCAATAGCATGATCGCCACGAATTGTTCCTGGTTCAGCTTTGGCTGGATCAGTTGCTCCTAGCATTTTTCGGGCATTAGCTATAACTCCGAATCCTTCCCAAACCTATATATGATCAGAAAATAGCATAAATTATGTTGACAGAAAAAAAGGAGACATAACAACGTCTTACCATGGCAACTACTGGGCCACTTTCACTAAATGCAACTAACGCATCGTAGAATTTTTTGCCTTTGTGTTCTTCATAGTGTTGTTCAAGAAGAGCTTTTGTTGGCTAAAAAGGAAACAAATTTACTATCCCATTATACTCCATCAAAGGCTTGATGATGAAACTTCTTCGAAGAGAAAAGTAAAGTGAATCTGTTGTCCATTCGTAGTTAGATGATTAGCGTGACATTTTATCTTATTGGATAACCGTAAAGATGGAATGACTTTGTTACTTATAGGATCCGGTAAACAGATAGATGAGGAGATGTTCAGCATTTTCGCGTTAGATTTTCACTATAACATTTCAGTTTTCTTTTCTTTGAAATAAAGGGAGCAGCTCTTCTACAAATCGACCTCAAAAAATTATATTTGGGCCTTTATTTGTTGAAATCAGCACGCACTCTACAAGAAAATACAAGTATGCGGTTGTGTTAGAATATTGCTTTACTAATCCATTACAGTATTAAGAGTACGAAGTTCATATCTATCTCAAAACTTAAAGGAGAGTTAGTTTCTTCGACATTTTGTCTGTTGATATAGTTCATAAAACCGAAGTATATCGGATTACACTTGAGTATTGCAAAATACTCGGCCTTTTAAGCTAACTTTATCCTAAGAATAATGATATTATTGTACACTTACCAAAAGTAATTTTATTGCAACAGGTTTATATCCACGATGTTCAAATCGTTTGATGATTTCTCCAGTCAGACCACGTGCAACTCCATCGGGTTTGACCAAGATAAGTGTTCGTTCATGAATATCGCCCATTTTTTGTTAAAGCCTGTGTTTAGATGATTACTATAACTCAGATATTTCTTCTATATATATAAATCTTCTATGTTGCTCCTGACTGTTCCGTTTCGATACTGAGTTACGAATGATGTGTGTACGACTTTTTGCAGATATATAATATTCTGCCGCAATGATAATAGAAAAAAATGATTTTTTCCAAAAAAATGGTATTTACTCCCGAAAATGTCAGCATAAGAGAAACTCAATGTTTGCTATTTATTTACATATGATAAAAATCCTTTATAATCTGCATCGCAGAAAACAACATAAAAAAGCAATTACCAAAAGAAAAAACAAAAAATAATTGTTCTTCATATGCATAACTGCGGTAACAAATTTATCTCCGTAGAACATGGTATTAGTCTGTTGTCTGGAAAAGAAATTTTTATATTGACAAAGATAATATAACGGGGAAGTTATGTTACACACATGAATAGAAATATCGGAATTTATGGTCTTTAGTTATAATGATGATTACGCCGTGCCATATTACTCTTATTCATATTACCGTTATAACAACTTATTTGATGAGTATTACAGCTGACATATTATTAACCATCCCTTTTGGGTAGATATCCGATTTCAGGTTAACATAGCCTGTCGTCAATATCTGAAAGATGGAAAGAAAAAAACAAATCACAAAAACAACCAAAGAAAAAGAAAATCATTTTTTATGCTATTACAGGAAAAACGCAGTAACCACAGTTCTTTTTTGACTAACTCGAGAAGGAATATAAGCTAGAAAGATTCAGTTTTCGTTATTCAGTAGACGTATTGTTATCCATACTTTTGGGTAGATATCTGATTTCAGGTTAATATGGCCTGCCGACAATCTGTGAAAAATGGAAAGAAGAAAACAAACCAATTTTTTATGCTATTATAGAGTAAAAAAAAGCAGTGGCTGCGGTTCTTTTGTGAATAACTAACTGATAAAGATAATATAACTGGAAAGTTATGTTATATACATGAATAGAAATATCTGAATTTATGGTCGTTAGTTATAATGATGATTACGCCATGTCACATTACTCTTATTGATATGGCAATTATGTCAACGTATTTAATAGGAAGTACAGCTGACATATTATTATCCATCCTTTCGGGCAGATATCCGATTTCACGTTAACATGGCCTGTCGACAATGTCTGAAAGACGAAAAGAAAAAAACATACCACTTTTTTTATGCTGTTATAGACGGGAAAAGCAGTGGCCATGTTTCTTTTTGGAATAATTCGAGAAGGGATAAAAGCTAGAAAGATTCAGTTTTCGTCATTGTGTAGAGAAAAACTGAATGCATCTGTTTTGCTGCAAAACTAGAAGTCGAATTTTCAACTGATTCGGGTTTCTTTTTAATTAACCGGTGAATACATTTCGAAATGAATAGTAGTATAATAAACACCGAATGCATAACTATGTATTACGAGACGTTTCGTACAATATCTTAGTACATCCTCAGTCAGAAATAATATGTATTATTTCTGACTGAGGATGTACTAAGAAGGACGATTATCTGATGAAATCAGTCCATACCTGAATTTCATCGATTAATCAAAGGCTAGATGTTGAATGAAGAGGGGAATATTGAATACCACTTTCAGAAAAAAATTGGTCGAATCAAATTTTGATTAAGTTTCTACTGCATCTGATATTATAGATCGTATTTTTGGATCTTTCTCTCTCAGTTTCACAATTCCTCACAACTATTATATATCATTCGAAAGCTCTTTTTCTTCGTTATATCCCTGTATATCAAATATATCGTTCTGAAATCAAGTATGTATAGAAATACTTCTGGCTATGGAAAATGATCTCCTACGTGCAAAAAGTCTCAGATATTCTATGTCAACATTTCTCATCAGGCCACTACAATAAATATACAACTCGATAGAGAAGTTGTCAAGCTACAATTTAATTCCCTTGACTGAAAGTCTAGGGTCATATGAAATAAATGTCGGCGTCGGCGTCGGCGTCCGCATGTGACGGACGTACATACATATAGTGACCAGTGAGTGTGACGGACGTACATACACATAGTGACCAGTCAGTGTGACGGACGTACATACACATAGTGAGCACTGAGTGTGACGGACGTTCATACACATAGTGACCAGTGAGTGTGACGGAGGTACATACACATAGTGATCACTGAGTGTGACGGACGTTCATACACATAGTGACCAGTGAGTGTGACGGACGTACATACACATAGTGATCACTGAGTGTGACGGACGTTCATACACATAGTGACCAGTGAGTGTGACGGACGTTCATACACATAGTGACCAGTCAGTGTGACGGACGTACATACACATAGTGATCACTGAGTGTGACGGACGTTCATACACATAGTGACCAGTGAGTGTGACGGACGTACATACATACAGTGGCCAGTGAGTGTGACGGACGTACATACATATAGTTACCGGTCAGTGTGATGGACGTACATACATATCATGTGACAGTAGTGAGTGTGACGGACGTACATACATATAGTCATGTGGCAGTGTGACGGGCGGCAATGATCATTTT